AGCAGCACCTGCAGCAGCAGCACCTGCAGCAGCAGCACCTGCAGCAGCAGCACCTGCAGCAGCAGCACCTGCAGCAGCAGCAGCAGCAGCAGCAGCAGCAGCAGCAGCAGCAGCAGCAACAGTGTTTCTCTTGCATACTATTTGGTGCTGCTGAGGGTGCAGCAGCAAACGAGGATGCATAGAAGGGCTGTTGTGTCTGCTTAGAGGGGCCGAGGGATCTGTCTTTCTGTGCGGCAGCAACAAAAGAAATTTTTGTTTTTGTTTTAGGGTTTAGGGTTTAGGGTTTAGGGGTTAGGGTTTAGGGTTTGGGGTTTATGTTTATATTGGCCCTTCGGGTGTATGCACATACACCCGAAAGGGAAACAAAACAACACACCACAAAGCGCCTTGCAGCAGCAGCAGCAGCAGCTAAAGCTGCTGTTGCTGCTGCTGCTGCTGCAGCTGTTGCTGCTGCTGCTGCTGCTGCAGCAGCAGCAGCAGCTGCAGCAGCTGTCTGGGATCGGATCCCGACTCCCGCCAGCAGCCTGATAGGTGCTAGAGGGAGATGAGTGTAATTTATTTATTTATTTCTTTTGTTTACTTCTGTTGTTTATTTCTTTTGTTTATTTATTTTGTTTATTTATTTTGTTTTTTTATTTTGTTGTTTTTTTTTATTTTGTCTGCTTGCAGTAGCAGCTATACTAGCTGCTGCTGCAGCAACTCTCCACGCTGTGGTAGTTAGGGCGTTGACATATATCTGCTGCAGGAGCAGCAGCAGCAGCAGCAACAACAGCAGCAGCAATAGCAACAGCACCAGCAGCAGCAACTGCACTAGCAGCAACAGCAGCAACAGCAGCAGCAGCAACAGAATTGTTGCTGCTGTTGCTGCTGCTGCTGCTGTTTATTTAGTTTTTCTGTCTGACGTGTAGAAGGGGGGAAGAAGCAACACCAGCTGCAGCTGCTAGGGTTTAGGGTTTAGGGTTTAGGGTTTAGGGCTCACGAACAGCACTAAACCCTAAACCCTAAAAGCTTTGTACTTTAGGGTTTATAACAAACTCTTATAATAAATAATTATTATTTATTATTTATTTATTTATTTATTTATTTATTATTTATTATTTTTAATTATTATTTATTTATTTATTTATTTATTTTATTGTAGATAAAGGGGGCCCCCAGCTTATATAGTTTGGGGGGCCCCCGCAGCAGCTTGTTTTTAGTATTATGATGGTTTGTATAGCATGCATATATTGTTTTTATTGTTATTTTATTTTATAATATTAAAATATTTATTTATTTAACATTTTTTAGTTCTTTTTTATTTATTTTTTTGTATATTTATGTATATCTCAATGGCTGGTGACCTGGGGGGTTGGGGTGTACAGGCAGCTCGGCGGCTTCTTCTCTGCCGGTGTGCGTAGTGCAAATGGGTGTTTTTTCGTTTTAAAATAATAAAATAAATAAAAATAATAAATAAAAATAAATTATTTCATCAAATAATTCTTTCTAAGAAGAAAAAACTACGCGGTGTATAGGCATCTCCCGAGGGAAGCCACCGTCTATATTTGTTGTTGCTGTTGGTATTCGCTGCCTCTCCTTTTCCTTTTTTTAATTAAATTTATTTATTTTTTTAACATTTTATTTATCTTATGCATTCATATGTTGTAAATAAAGATGCACCAGCACCTACACACCACACAGCTGGCAGAGGGGGCCCCCCAGCCACCACAACCAACAGGGGAGCCCCCCCCTGGGGGCCCTGGGGGCCCCGGGGGCCCCCTTCTTAACCCTTGCCTGCGTGATGCGATTCTGCAGCTCCTGAAGGGGCCCCATGCTCTTCAGCTTCTCTCGGGGGCCCCCCAGGGGGCCCCTATGAGGGGGGCCCCCAACCCACACCATGGAGGCCCCCATGGCTCTGCTACAGTGAGACCGTTCGGGGTGTGTGCAGGGGGCCCCACAGGGGCCCCCAGGGGGCCCCCCATGGGGGCCCCCCTGGGGGTACTTGGGGGCCCCTGTATAGGCTTAGTAGAGGAGCAAGAGAAAGGAACAACAGGTGATTATAGCACTGAGATACGAGTATATATATATATATATATATATATATATATATATATATATATATATATATATATATATATAT